CTCCAGCACGATGTAGACGCGGCCAGGCGTTCTGCTGCCTGGAAACGCCCCACAAGCTTCTATCCCCTGCCCCTACCACGAACACATCAACCCAACCCAGGTACTACGAGCCCATGCGGCGGCTCATCGAGGAGCACACACGCGCAGCCCTAGGCAATCCCGTCGCCGGCGGCGTCAAGGGGGAAGATCAGGTATCGGCGAAGCAGGCGGCCAAGCAGATCAAGCAGGAGGTCTCTGCGTGACAGCTGCAAGGGATACGTGCTTGCGATGCACGCTTCCGATCATGCGAAGGGCGGCGTCACCAGCCCCTGGGAAGCTACCTTGCCTCGCGAATAGCGCCCACTGGCGCGCCTGCTCCATGCTGATCAATGAGCTGTGTAACTCACTTTTGGAGCACGTCCTTCTCTAGACCAAGGTCTCTGAGTCTGCTCTGTGTCGTCTCCTTATGCTCGAGCCCGTGCTGCTCAGGGCGAGCAGCCTGGCTTGTGGGGCGTCTTCTCTAGCATACAACAGAATCTCAGCGTCTATCTGCGCGCGCTTTAGCACGCACGCGGCCATGGCCGACGGAGCCCCCCTCGCCAAGGACAATCCTGAAGTCTCTAGGGCCCCTGCGGGCGGCTGGTAAGTCTTGAACAGCCTATCAATACACCTCAATAGTTTCTGCATCGCCTACTTCGTGCATGCGCCCAAACACGAGCTGCGAGCTTTGACTTGGCGCGTGTTGCTGGTGGTGTGGATATGCTGCCTTTTGTGCTGGTGCACGGTCAAATCGACGCCCGGCCGCTGTTCTGCATCCGCATGGGGTAGTTGTGTCAGGCGGGAAAGCATCTTGTGACCGTCCATGCAGGGTATCACATGTATCCACATGCCCGCCCGATGCGACATCGCGCGCCTCGGCCCGGCACAGCAGTGCTTGCCGTGCCCGAGCCCCTTGCCTGCGACCCCCCCGCCTCGCGCCCTCCACAGGGGCTCGTGGGCGCCTCGGTGGCGCAAGACAAGCCCGGCAGAGGCGGCTGAGGCCGAGCGCGGCATGCTGGACCTGCTCAAGTGAGGGGCGCCTTGCGATTGTATTGTTGCATTGTTTGAAAAAGCAACCTCACAGCCCAACGACAACGCCTGAATCGCACCCGGCGGGGGCGGTCTGGGGAGGCAAGCCAGCGTCAATGCAGAGAAGGCTCGGCAGTGGCGTGCCCAGCCCTTCCGTTTCCGCCAGGGCGGCGTGATGGCACCCCTTCTTAGTCTGTGGTTGCAGTTGGGGTTTGCGGGAGCGCCGTGTTGAACGCTGCACGCAATCAACCCGCGCCTGCGCGAGCGTGGGGGCCCCTCACGGCCGCGCGGCACTTGCACTGGCTTCACAACACCCACAGGAGCAAGGTCTTGGCCCGGGACGTGCCTGTCGGCCCCGGCAAGCAGGACTACATTCGGACGCTGGAGGTGCAGCCGCCCGCGGGCGCAGCCGAGGGCGCGGCGACGGCTGCCCGGCAGACGCCGGTGGTGTACCTGCCTGGGTACGGCGCGGGCTCCTGCTTCCTGTGGCGGTGAGCGGGGGCGTGATCGCGGCGTGCGGCAGCATCGCCCATCGACCATGCGGCGTCAGCGGCAAGGCCTGGTCTTGACTGTTGTGCCTCACCACTACGCAGCAGTCCCGTTCAGAGGCACTGTCTCCTTTCCTACAGCAGCCCTCGACGTACTCAGGAAACGCGGACTTGCAATGACACCCGCCTGCGCTCACTCCCCGGCTGCCCGCACCGCAGCAACATCGACGCCCTGTCGCCCCACATGCGCCTGTTCGCCTGCGACTGGCTCGGCACCGGCCGCTCAGGACGGCCGCGTTTCTCCGCGCGCGGCCAGGAGGAGGCGGAGGGCTTTTTTACCGACAGCCTGGCGGAGTGGCGGCGCGCTGAGGGGCTGGATGGCGGCAAGATGGTGCTGGTCGGCCACTCCCTCGGCGGGTGGGCACTCCCACGCAGCTGCACGCCACGCAGGCGCTCCTGCCTGTGATTGTGTGCTGCCGTGCAGCTCAATTCAGACGGCTGCCGGGGTTTTCAGCCACTTGGTGGGCGTGGAAGTGATAGGGGCTGCATCCATCACTGTACCGGCAAGCCCTGAGGATGTATGCTAGCATCGCCGCATTTCGCCTTGACCCCTGCAGTCGTCGGCTTTGTACAGCGCAGAGTGCCGCCTCATCTTGCGGGTATCGCGCCCGCACCCGCCCCGCCCGTCCGCAGCTACCTGGCAGCTGCCTACGCGCTCAAGCACCCGGAGCACGTGCAGCACCTCGTGTTGGTCTGCCCCGCCGGCATTGTGAGCTGCGGCTCGCTGTGGGAGGGGTGCACTAGCTGGTGATTCAGGATTGGGCCGCTGTTAGTGGCAACATGGCAGACCATGCGCCCAAAAAAGTGACTGACCGTGGCAAAGCCGCCTGTGTGCTTTTACGGGACATGCCCACTTAATCGGGTCTCCGTCCAACTGGGGGTGGTCCGTGTTATAACAGCGCGCTGCCTCCTGACGCCCCCGCCGCGCGCCCCCGACCCTGCCCGCAGCCCGAGAAGCCCGCGGGCTGGGAGTCGCGCTTCACCACCGCCGCGCCCGCGTTCCGGCGCCTGCTGTTCCGCGCGGCGGCGGGCGCCTGGGAGGCGGGCCTGACGCCGGGCGCTGTGATCAGGGCTCTGGGGCCGTGGGGGCCGGGGCTGGTTGACAAGTATGTAGGGGGCCGCTTCAGCTACCACGGGCACCCGCTGACAGAGCAGGAGATCCCGGTATTCAGGTGGGCGGAGCGCGGCGCCGCCCCGCGATTTACTTGCGTGGGCTTCCTGATTTTTGTGCCTGGCATTGCGTGTGCTCGTCACGAATGCGGGCGTGAGGGCGTCTCGCATGTTCGCATGTCGAGCGGCAGACGCACACCGCACCCTGCGCCTGCACCCTCCGTTCAGCGCAGTTGGAGGTTCCTTCCCCCTCAAGCAGGTTGTCCTCCGCCCCCTGCCCCCCGGCCCGCACCCAAATCCCAACCTGCACCCGGGCAAGGTCCTCACTTCAACCCCTGCCTCTGCTACGCCCACCCTTGTCTGCTCTGCGATGCAGCTCCTACTTTTACCACATAGCGGCCGCCCCTGGCAGCGGCGAGTTTGCGCTGCGGCACCTGCTGGAGCCGGGCGCGTGGGCGCGCTCCCCGCTGCACAAGCGGCTGCTGGAGCTGCAGGTGGGGGCTGTGAAGTGCCGCCTTGGGAGGAGGGCTGGGGGCGGGCTTGCGTGGGTAGTTGTGCGCCACACGCGTCGCGTTGGTTCATGTCAGTATCTTCGGCTGCAGGAGTCGCAGTCACGTCTGAATGCTGCAGCTGACCCTGTATTGATTTGTTCGTGTCATGTCAGGCCCGACGGTTTGCTGCAGGCAGCGCGCACGGCTGCTGCCTCCACTGCCATAATGATCGATCATGCCCGCAAGCCTGGCATCACCGCCCACCCATCTGCTTCACGTATCACCCCTACCCCCCACGTGCCAACCCCCGCTGCATTCAACCCCTGTTACGCCACCACCTCCATCACGCCCCCCCCCCCCTTCAAACCCCAGGGTGTCCCCGTGACCTTCATCTACGGCGCCCACGACTGGATGGACCCCAACAACGCGGTGGCGCTGTCAAAGGAGCTCGACCGCGTGCGGCCCAGGGCGGTGCGCGCCCGTGCCCGCGGGGCGGGGGCCTCTTGCGTGCGGGTCGCCAAGCATCAGCCTCGCCTCGAGGCTCGGCGCAGGTTCTTCCTGCCAAGCGCCGCCTTTGCCGACTGGCCGTCAAGCTGACACGGCGTACGAGTTTCTGCAGCCAGCTGCGCGGCAGTCTTACTTTCACCCCCAACCCTACACGACGATCTATGCACATGTTGAACCCTGAACCCTGAACGATGCGTCTGTTGATGCAGGTGCCGTCTGACCACGCCGTCGAGATCATCCCTGATGCCGGCCACTACGTCTTCATAGAGCAGCCAGACGAGTTCAACAAGACTCTACTCAGGGTGCTCGCCCCCTGGCTTGGCGGCGGCGGCGGCAGCGCCGGCGGCGGCGGCGGCGGCGGCGGCGCGGTGAACGCCGGCGCGTGATCTGTACAATTTGCAGGGCTTGATGGATGTTGTGGCTGCATCTCCTCCGCTTGGGATGTGTCAAGGTGCAGAGGATTTATTGCGCGGAACGGCAAGCTGAGTGGGCACTCCGCTAGCCGATCACAAAACCCAGCCCATGCCCCTTCAACCCCTGGCAGCCTGGTGCTGCAAACGCACAATTGGCGGGCTTCCTGTGCGATTGTCTCTGATGTTGCTGGGTATGACCCCTGTTGTACTCTCCTCACTCAACTGTATGATGTAACGCTGACACCTCCACACACTGAGAAGATGTGCTCAGCGCGCGGCCAGTATCCGCCGCCGGACAAGGCTCATTTTGAGCCAAAGCATGCAAACCACAAGTGTCTCTCGAAGAACACACAGGTCCCCTTCCCGCGCTGACATTGGCGCAGAGCATTGGCCGGGGAATGCATCAGCAACAGTGAGTCACACCGTTCTCGCATTGCCACCATGTCCACTCCGTGCGACGGTGTTGTGAAGCCTACAATGCTGACTTGATTGATACTTCAGATCCGACGCGCCAGATGCTGCATGACCGCACAGCGCAGGGCCAGTCTCAGCACAGCTGGTCCAGCAACTTGCCATCGACATGAGCGCCCTGCTCGCCAGTGCTATATGTGCTCGTGCGATGGTGGTTGCTGGTCAGCAGTAGGTCTCCTCCTGAAGAACACCTCAAACTCCATGATACTTCAGGATGCGACATCATAATCGACACGGCTGTCCCCGCGTGGGTGGGGCTGTATTGCGGTCTATCAGTCTAGTTGCCTGGGGCTTGGTGCAGGGCGATGCTTTCGCATCTGGCGCAGCACAGGGGAGTGCGGCGGCCTGTTGCATCTTATATATGTCTTGTCTAGTAAAGCAGGCGCTGGCACAGCAGCGCGGAGCCAGAGGTGCTGGGTGGCTTGACCACGCAGGTTGGAATGAAAGAACCGGAACGGTCGTCAATCGCCGCGTGCTGTCAATCGCCGGTGCGACACGACCCGGCCTGCTGTATGAGCTCAGTTGATGTCGTAAGCTGACTCAGCCCCATGCATCTGAAGATTGAGATAGCAGTTGTGCTCAGGAAGTTGCATTCGTCTCTATTGCTGGATTTGATGGGAGACAACCCCAGAACCTTTCGGCAGCACACGCCACCAGCTTTGCCGGCTGCTGCATTGCCAGGCATGTGGTCGTGTCATGATTTGATGTCTGAGAAATCCACTTCCCTGGGGGCGCAAGTTTGGAGCATCCTGTACTTGTGGCGCAGCCTGCAGTCGTGGCCGAACACAGTGCGGGCGCTAGCGCCCCTGTCATCAGAGGACAGGCTGACAGCATTTTGCAGTCCATGAGGGCCCGCCGTAGAGCAGGCAGTCGACACTGATAAGCTTTTTGGTCTACTGGAGCAAGCAATGCAAGTCCTGCATGCTGTTGTATGCCTGTTTCGATAGTGCCGTGATCTGGTCAAAGCGCAACTGACCCGTTGATCGTATTTTTTGCATTTGGAAGATCTGATTACTGCCAATATAATTTGTTTGTCTTTAGTCTCTCGTTTGCGATGAGTAGCTTGTCGCCTATATGCCGAGCACTGTTAAAATGCAGATGCTGCTTGGCAACTCCAGGCCTCTGCTCCTATGCCATCACATCAAGCTGCTGTCTACATACACCCCTCAGCATACTTGGCTGCACGCCGAAGGTATGGCACGCTCTTCTGTGGGATGACATGGCAGCCCTGCACCTCTACCACTTGTGCATGCCCAACTGGTGCCCTCATGCAGGCATTGGGGTGTCCCCCTCAGTACCGCAGGTTCAAGGCAAGACGGTTCGGCAAGACGGTGCAGGCCTTGCCCGTGTGCCTTCAAACACGGGTTGCCCCCTCTGGCTTGGCCCGGCCAGGTGACTGGTCGGTCCCATGAGGACCCCCTCCCACGCTGTGGGGGCCCCCCTGTGGGGCTTTGTAAATTTGTGTACCCCCCCTCCTTAGAGTGCCCGCTCTCTTGGACAACCGCAGTATGTCGGACCAAATCAAATACTGCTTTCCCCAATCGACAGCCAAATCTATATGGCAACCAATGTGCGCCCCCCCCCCCCGGCTCCCGCGCGC